CGTCCTTTGATCTGCACCAGGACGGGTGCTGCTGCTGAGGCAGGGCAGGGGCGGAAGCTGGGCTCTGCCTGGGGGCACACCCTTGAGCCCAAGGACCAGCCAGGCTCCAATAGGACAAGGGACACAGGCTGATGGAAGACTGTCTCCGGCAGGCTGTGGAACCTACCGGGTAGTTGTGCCGGTACCTTCGCATGTCCTGCATGGCCCGCCAGTTGCGCGACCCTGCCATCCTGGACTGGGAAGAGAACAAACAGGATGAGGCTCCGGTGAAGCCCCTCAGTGAACTCCCAATCTGCTGAGAACATCATGGCCTGAGCCAGTGGCCAATGAGTATCTTTATGGGGAAGATCCTTTCCACGGTTCTTCCCCCCAACTCCCCTTCCAGTTTTTCCCATGGGGTCCCACTGGGCAGATCTAAACCCTAGCGAAGCACTCCCCCCGACTCTTTGCATAGAACCAGAGGGTCTGAGTGCCAGGCTTGCTTCTCAGGTGGCTGGGCCAGTGTGCCCGCTGCATACTCCCCTGGGCTGACGTCTGCAAGGCTTCTGTGCCCCAAGCCCCAGTTCCCCGCTCACTCCAGCCTCAGCTCCTCACATCCAGGGTCGCCGAATCCTACAGTACTTCCTCTTACACTGTGCTCTAACCTCTCACCAGACTGTGTTCCCGAGGGAAGCCACTTGCTGCCTACAGCTCAGGACACAGGGGAGGCCCTGCCCTCTCAAACCCGGGCTCCTCACTGACGAGATGGGAGGTGGAAAAGGCCCAGCACCTCTGGCCTCCAGCCCTGTGAGGCCGGCCTTTTGGCCATTTCAGTGTTTCCCTGCTGCTCTGCAGCCCTTCGGCCTTGGTCCACACAGGCGAGCTCCCAGGGTCCCGAGAAGAGGTAACAAGCACATCAGGGAAACTATTCTGAGGCTGCGGAGCAGAGCTCCGGCGTGCAGGGCAGCTGCCGTGAGACAAAGGTCCCAGGTAGTCAGCCCCTCCTGTCCTGGGACATGGCGGGTTCCAGGGATTAAGAGAACACTGGATCCGAGGCCCTGGGTCTCGGGGTTCCTCGGCCTGACTGTGAAGTCGGAGCCAGCGGGTGAGGCCCTGGAGCCCAGACCAGGACCGGTAGACAGACACTGACGCTCGGCGGAGGCGGGCCCTGCCTCCTGGCCAGTGCGCGTCTTCAGGGTGGACAGGCTGCAGAGCCTGCGCCCGCCTGTCCTGGAGCACTCCCGCAGGCGGCTGGGCTGAGGGTCGGCGGCAGGCCTGAGCTTCCAGGCTGGTTCTCGGCCCCGGGCACTCTCGGTGGGCAGAGACCCCATCCCAGGACACAGTTCCGACCCCAGGCGCCCTCCGGGCCCGCCCGGTCCCCTGGAACCGGGGCACAGCAGCACTGCACAGACGGTGACCGGCCGCTCCCGCGGGCCGGGAAGCCCGGGGGGCGCCGCGAGGACGGCCACAGAGCGCAGGTTTCCGGAGGGAAGGCTCCCGGGCCGCGGGGGGCCCCGCCGCGCCCTGGCCCGCGGCGCCGTGCGCGGTGCGGGGCTCGTGCGGGGCCGGGCCGGGCGGCCGCCGCGCTGACGTCACCGCGCGCGGACCCCGCCCGGGGGCCCGGGGAGCCCGGGGAGCCCGGGCCCGGGGCCGGCCGACGGCGGGGCCTTCCCGCCCGGCGCGCCGCGCGGGGGTCGGCGCCCCTCCCCGCTCCGCCCGGGCCGCACCTGGAGCGCGCCGGCCTGCGCGGCCCGCAGCCCGTCCCCGTCCTCGTCCCCCGCGTCCGCGTCTCCCTCCGGGCCGTCCTCGGCGTCCTCGTCCTCCTCCCAGGTGGAGTCGCAGTCCAGGTCGTCCATGCTGGGCGGCGGCGGACCCCCGGGACCGCTCGGCGGAAGCGAAAGGGAAACGGGAGGAAGCGCGGGGGCGGGGCGAGCCTGAGGGGCGGGGCCTGAGCTGCTGCCCGAGGGGAATTGGCGGGGCTCTGAGCCCGGGGCGGGCGCGGATGGGCGGGGCCTGAGCCCGCGGGAGGGGTCTGAGCTCCCGGGGGGCGGGGCCTGAGCCGCGGGGGCCCGAGGAGAATTGGCGGGGCCTGAACCCTGGGCGGGATGGGCGGAGCCTGAGCCCGCGGGCGGGGTGGGGAGAGGCGGGACCAGCACGCGGGGGCGTGGCCTGAGCGCTGGCGGGCGGTGAGTGGGCGGGGCCTTGGGCGGGGCCTGGGTTCTGATCTCCGCCCATGCCCGTCCCGAGTCGGCCTGGCCCGCCCTGCCGGGACCACGACCTACCCCGCCCGCCCTCCTCGAGGGCCGGGGTCCCCCACGAGCCTCCCGACCTGCCCTCAGAGGGAGGCAGCCCAGGGCTCCTGTGGAGCCCGCAGCGCCCCACCCGTCCCCATGACCCCGGGAGGCCCGCCTCCTGACCCCCGCGGAGTTCACACGCACCCCGAGGTCACTCTCCCGGGGGGAGCTGCGTCCGGGGCGGGGCGGGGGGGGGGCAGGGGAGCAGGCCGCCAGGCCTCCCTGGGGGCCGGCCGGGTCCAGCGCAGCTGCTCCCGCGCGGCCGGCGCCGGCAGTCCTAGTGCTCAGGAGGCCGAGATCCGAGAACCGCGGTTCGAAGCCAGCCCTGGCAGGAAAGTCTGGAAACCTCGATCTCCAGAGAACCACGTGAAAACGGAGGCGGTGGTGTGGATCGAAGTGGTAGAGTCGGCCTTGAGTGAAAAAGCCCAGGGTCAGCGCCGGCCTCGAGTTCGAGCCTCGCGGCTGACGAAAAATAACAAGCGAAGAAGGAAAGGGTCTCTATGTGCAGAACCGTGAACTAGACTGCAGCTGGGCGGGCGGGAGCCCTGCCCCGGCAAAGGCGGGTGCGGAGATGGCTGTCGGAATGGGGGCACTCCGGGTGAGTAAAAGGTCCCCCACCGCCCTAGAAAGCAGAAAGACCCACGCGGTGCACCAGCGGTGCCACCCAGAGGACGCGCCGCGCTGCCAGCTCCAGAGGTGTTCCGGACCCGCGGAGGCCCTAAGGAGCTTTGCAGCCCGAGGTTCCGTCCCGGAGAAGCCTGCGTGGGCCTGGCAGCCGCTGCCAGGCTAGGAAGGGCGGCGGAGGTGGACAGGGCCCTGCCGAGCAGCAAAGCCGCGGTGCTGCAGGCCACGCCTGGAGGGAGATGGGCTCAGGTGGGCTGAGGTCACAGCTGTCTGTAGACGCACAGGTGCATTCCCACCGTGCTCCCCACTCCTCATCAGCATCTATCCGCTGCGGCTGCGAGCACAGGCGCCCACTCTTCCTCCTCGGTCATTCGGGCCAGACAGGAAGGTAAACGCACGCCAGCTGGAGGGGCAGCCTCTCCCTGGTGGCCAGTGCACGCTTGAGCTGCTTTATTTTTATTTGGTGGGGGGGGGGGGTCTGGTCGTGGGGCCTGAACTCTGGGCCTGGGCGCTGTCCCTCAGCTCTTCAGCTCAAGGCTAGCGCTCTACCACTTGAGCCACAGTGCCACTTCTGGCTTTTTTCTTTTTGCTTATGTGTTGCTGAGGAATCGAACCCAGGGCCTCATGAATGCAAGGCAAGCGCTCTACCACTAGCCACCGTCCCAGCCCTTGATCCCTGCTTTGAGACTCAGGTCCACCACTGGGAGCAGACGGTAAGCCTGTGGGAGGGAGTGGAATGACCAGGGAGGTGGCCTGAGCTGTTCAGTTGGGTGCACTGCTCTGAACCCCATCTGGAAAGGGCCATTTCTGGGACCTGACAACATGCTAGGAAGGTCTCCATATAATGACTGTTTCCTGTAATTTTGCTGCAGCACCTCTAAAAGCAGGTGTCACATACAGCCCCAGGGTTCCTTAGGAGAGGCCGAGTGCTGAGCAGAGCTCAGAGCTCCAGTTCTTCAGCCCTGTGAATCACAAGTGCTTTTCTAAAGTGTCCCTGTAGGTGCTCCTGGTCACGCGTGTTCTTCTGGTACTGAGGAAGGCCAGGTGGGCAATGTGACCCTGTGAGAAGACATGCGTGCCCAGGAGAGACCCGGCTCCTTCCCACTCCCAGACGCAGAGCTGCAAGCAGCTGTCCTGCTGGACGCAGGGCTCAACCCCTAGTCCCATCCAAGGAGTTATAAAGAACCATCTAGAAAAGGGGCCCACCCTACTCAGCTTCTAAGTGAGCTGTGTCCACAGGTAAGTTTCCAGTACTTGGAAGCCAGAGCCACCAACTGCCTGTCCGGGACTGATGACAGCAGCAGACCAGCCTGAGGCCTGATGGGAATTTTCTTTTTTCCAGTCCTGGGGCTTGAACTCAGGGCCTGGGCACTGTCCTTGAGATTCTTTTGCTCAAGGCTCGTGCCCTGCCCCTTGCGCCACAGTGCCACTTCCAGCTTTTTCTGTGTATGTGGTACTGAGGAAGCGCTCTTCCACTAAGCCACGTTGCCATATTCCCAGCCCTCATGGGCAGTTTCTTGTCACTCACGACAGTCGATGGGCAGGATGTTAAGATGGCTAGGTACTAGTGGCTCATGCCTGCAATCCTAGTTAGGCTGAAATCTGGGGAGCTTGGTTTGAAGCAAGCCAGGAGAGTCCATGGGCCTCTTATCTCCAACTAACCCTCAAAAAGCCAGAAAGGGAGCTGTGGCTCAAGGGCTACAGCACTAGTCTTGAGCAAAAAAGGTCAAGGACAATGCCTAGGCCCCGAGTTCAAGCTCCAGGAACTACGTGCATGTGCACACACACACAAAAACAAGATTTCAAGATGGAGGTGTGAATGCTGGCAGCACAGTCATGTCTGTTCACCCACCCGACTGGAACAGCAGCAGTCTCTGGTGGAATTCCAGGAGTAACCAGTCTCCAAAGCCTGGCAAGAAGTGCGTAGCAACATCAAGCAGCCATTCTGGACTTCCTGTTTGTACATTGCATTAAGTGATGTTAAATCATCTAAGTGAGCTCCTTGACTATACGTTGGAAAGCAAAACAAAACTTCTGACTGCAGAAAACACACACAAAAAAACAACTTAACCTACTTTGGTATTAAAGCCACACAACTCCAGGTCAGCTCTGCACTTTTAATGTGCTGTAGTCAAATGAAAGTGTACTTCAACCAGCACTGCATCCTCTCTCGCAGTCTTCTTGCAGGTTACTAGAATTACAAAAATAACCGCTACAAATTTCTGTTTCTGGCATATAAAAACTGAGCAAAAAGTATCTCAGTAGTTGTTACCTTAAAACAAAACATCTCAGGAAAAATACAACACAGGTTTAACATTTGCAGTACTTTCTCATATAAAACACTAGCAAAATAGGTTTCTTAAAAAATTAAATAACGAAGTACCAACCAAATTATATACAACATTACAGTACAAGTGAATGAGGCAAAAATCCAGTTCTGTTCCCCAGTGGGGAGGGAGGCCACCCAGGGCGGTGTGGTGGCATCCACGCACATTCTCGTTCCTCGGACGTCGGTGCAGAGGAGCCGCAGAGGGCCAAGCGGATGCAGAGGCCGGGTGCGCAGGAAGACAGTGAGGATGGCGGTTTATTGCTTGTGGACTCCTGGTCTTCTGGCTCCGTTCCCCAGCTCCCCTCCTCGCAGAGTGGTGGCCAGTCAGGAGAAAATACAAGATGGCTTCAGGGGCCTCACCATCTGTGTGCATCTCATCCTGGCTGTTGGGGTTCATCGGGGCCTCCATGACTTGGTGGGACCCACATAGGCGCCCCTCTGGATGGCCACATTCCCCAGGGGTCCCCGAGCAGGCAGCAAAGGACCGCAGCGTCAGCATTCTTCTGTGCTTCCAGGGGCTATGTTCGGCGCCGCTTGGCGGCACTGGGGCTGGAGGGGTTACTGTTTGCAGTCAGGACTTTGTCAGTGACCCGGCTGCGCTTCCGTTTGTCCGCCCCTTCTTTGCACCCCAAGTCTGAGGAGTTCTTCTCCTTGTCTTTGCTGGATTTTTCTAATGCCTTTCCCAAGCTCCCTGAAGATGAAAAAACTGAGAAACAAAATCATTTGATGAAAACAAAGCGTACAGAGTCTCATTTCATCTTCCTGTTCAGTTAGAAAGCCTGCCATCTACAAGTGGCCCTCTGAGCCCAGGGGGCGTCCCTAGGCTTGAGCCTGGCACAGCCATGGCCCCAGACCCCAGGCTTGGACACAATGCCAGGGGAAGGGGTGGTGGTGGCTGTGGCTATGGCAGTGTGTCTGCATGGGGGTGCTTGACATGACCTCTGCTGGGCGGGACCTGAAGACCCTAGGCCGCCTGACCACCTCTGGTGTGTGTGTGTGGAGGAGGCGGGGAGGACCCCTGGTATGGGGAGACGGAAGGCAGAGGGGAGGTGGGGAGCCCTCTGCTATGGTGTAGGAGGTGGGGAGCCCTCTGGTGTGGGGTGGGGGGAGGTGGGGAGCCCTCTGGTGTGGGGTGGGGGGAGGTGGGGAGCCCTCTGGTGTGGGGTAGGGGGGAGGCAGGGCACCCCTCTTGTGGGGTAGGGGGGAGGCAGGGTACCCCTCTGGTGTGGGGTAGGGGGGAGGCGGGGCACCCCTCTGGTGTGGGTGAGGGACAGGAGCACCGCGCTCACCATCATCAGCCCCGCTGTGGGGGTCCACATCTTCCTTCATCTCCTCTTTCACCTCTTCCTCAATGAGCACTTTTCCTGTGGAGGAGACAGCTGACGTTCACTGGAAACGCACGGTGCTGGCCAGCGCTGGGGGACGGTCGGGCCAGGACTGCTTCTGACTCTCGCTGCCCACACAAGCCTCGGCGTCCATCAGGAGATGGCGTCCGTCACAAGACGGCATCCATCATGAGACTGCTCTCCAGCAGAGCCCCCCATCCTGCGGGTTCCAAGGCCGCCCAGGTGCAGGCGCACAGGGTCTCCGTGGGACCCCCACGCCCCCACCCGGCGCCCAAGTGGCCTTTTCCACGCCCAGGCCGGACCTGGGCCCACGCTCACCTTCTCGGACCTCCTGAATGATTTCTTCCGGAAGGACGAAGTTCCTCTCTGGATTCGGGAAGGGAAGAATTTCAGATTCATGCTGATGCACACAGTGTTTTGTATTTTCAAGAAGAAAGAAAAAGTGTTATCTGGTCAGTAACTTGGCACGGCAGGGCTAAGAGTGTGGCTCAGAAGGTGCAGCGTCTTCCTGCCCGGCGTGAGGCTGAGTTCACCTTCCATCAGAAAAAAAATGTACAAAGGACCCAAGGCTAAGTATGAAAATGCTGTTCCTACTCCTGGAAGTGAGCATGCAGGGACCAGGCTGTGCCAGCCCTGAAAGAGCAGAAGCCCTGCTGACCCCCACAGCTCCTGAGCAGGCGCAGCAAGCAAAGCCTGCAGTCCCCACCACTCCATCCCTGGTGCACCTGCCACCTGTGAGCTCCCACCTCTGCGGGGAGGGGGCTCATCTGACTCCCACAGAGCCCACACATCTGATTGGTGGGACTCAGATCTAGGGTCGCCTTCCACCTACCCCCCTTTTGGGGCTCCTGACTTGTCTCGGTGCGGCTGCTTCTCCCTGAGGTCTCAGCCCACACTGGTCTCCCTGGAGACTTGCTGGCCACCATCAATCCAAAGTGGACTTCCTGACCTTCACCAGCCCGGTCCCCAGCCTGCTTTCCTAACATCTCCTGAGCTCTGGGTCTCTGCTGCTGGCTGGGTCTGACTTGACCTTCCTCCTCACCGCGGCCCGCGCAGGAGGTGGGGGTCTAGCTCACCAGGGCCTGCATGTCGTACATAGTGCTCAGGTGGTCCCAGATGACCTTGGATGGGACCTGCCGACCAATGTTCTGGCTGAACTTGTCTCGGATACAAATCATGTGGAAGTGTCGGTTCACTCCTGCGGGAGGGAAACAAGAGGACAGGTCAGGAGGGTGGGAGAAGTGGGGGGGGCGGGGGGAGGCAGGGAGGGGCGGGGCTGGGAGAGGTAAAGGGCGTGGGGCAGAGGGCAGAGGCCAGGAGGGGTCTCTGGGCCAAGGGGAGGATCTCAGGGAAGAGAAGGCAGGGGCACAGGGCCCAGGGGTGGCCGGGCGGGGGCTGGGGGTCGCGGGGGCTGGGGAGGGGGCAGGAGGTGCCGTGGGGTGTTCCAGGGCCGTGGGGGGGGGGTCCCAGGGCCGGAGGGGGGGGGTCCTAGGGCGGGGGGGGGGGGTACAGGGCCAGGGGGGGGGTCCCAGGGCCGCGGGGGGTCCCAGGGCAGGGGGGGGGTCCCAGGGCCGTGGGGGGGTCCCAGGGCCGTGGGGGGGTGGTCCCAGGGCCGGGGGAAGGTCCCAGGGCCGCGGGGGGTCCCAGGGCCGGGGGGGGGGGGTCACAGGGGGGGGGGGGTTCCTGGGCCGGGGGGTGGCCCAGGGCGGGGGGGGGGAGGGGCCGCGGGCCCCGGGGGCGGGGGGGGGGGGGCTTCCAGGGCCGGGGGTGTCCCAGGGCGGGGGGGGGGGGGGGGTTCCAGGGCCGGGGGGGTGTCCCAGGGCGGGGGAGGGGGGGAGCCGCGGGCCCCGGGGGCGGGGGGGGGGGTGTCCCAGGGCCGGGGGTGTCCCAGGGCCGGGGGGTGTCCCAGGGCGGGGGGGGGGGGGGTCCCAGGGCCGGGGGGTGTCCCAGGGTGGGGGGGGGTCCCAAGGCGGGGGGGGGTCCCAGGGCGGGGGGGGGGCCGCGGGCCCCGGGGGCGGGGGGGGTCCCAGGGCCGGGGGGGGTGTCCCAGGGCGGGGGGGGGGTCCCAGGGCGGGGGGGGGGTGGTGTTCCAGGGCCGTGAGGGGGGGGTCCTAGGGCCGGGGGGTGTCCCAGGGCGGGGGGTGTCCCAGGGCAGGGGGGGTCCCAGGGCGGGGGGGGGGGGCCGCGGGCCCCGGGGGCGGGGGGGGGTGTCCCAGGGCGGGGGGGGGGGCCGCGGGTCCCAGGGCGGGGGGGGGGGGTCCCAGGGCCGGGGGGTGTCCCAGGGCGGGGGGGGGTCCCAGGGCGGGGGGGGTGTCCCAGGGCGGGGGGGGCGTCCCAGGGCGGGGGGGGGGTCCCAAGGCGGGGGGGGGGGGCCGCGGGCCCCGGGGGCGGGGAGCGCGGGAGGCGGGCGGGGCCGCGGCGGGCCGCGGGCTCCGGAACGCCACGCCGCGGGGCCCGGCCCGGCCCCGCCCTCCGCCGGTTGCGGCCGCCCCGCCCGCACGCGGGTCCGCGGCCGCCGGCGCTCACCGACGGGCTTGTGGCCCAGCATGGCGTGGAAGAGGCACACCTCCACCTCGGGGCTCCACACCACCGTCTCCTCCGCGGGGCTGGTGGCCGCCTCCCCGGGGCCCTTGTCGCCCGGGGCGCCCCCGCCGCCCACCTCGGCCTCTCCCATGGCCGCCGGCGAGCGACCCGCGCCCGGCACCAGCAGGCGCGGTCACGGTCCGCGCAGGCGCACTCGCGGCGGCGGGCGCGCGCTCGGCCCGCCCCCACGCGCCGCGTGTGCGCAGGCGCGGCGGGACCGGCTTCCGGCGCGCGCCGCAGCGCCCCCGGCGGCCGGGTTCGGCGCTGCGGCGCGCGGGGCTGGGGGGCGGGAGCGGCGGCGTCGTTAAAACTTCCGGGAAGACGAAGCCGGCGTCGGAACCCGGCGCGCGGTGCCGCCGCTGGCGAGCGGCGGTGGGAGGGCCCGGGGCCCGGCGCGAGGCCCAGACAAAGCTCGGGGCGCCCGGGATAGATCCGCCCGGCGAGCGCGGTCCGCGTGCAAACCCCGGGCCCGGAGCCAGGCTGCGGGGAGACGGGGCGGGCCGGGAGCGCGCGTGCGCAACCCGGTCAGGAGTGTGCGCGACACCCAGTCAGGGGTGCAAAAGTACAGGGTCAGGAGTGTGAGCCACACACCCGGCCGGGAGTGCACGGGAGCACGGTCAGGAGTGTGTGACACACCCGGCCGGGAGTGCACGAGTACGGGGTCAGGAGTGTGCGTGACACACCCGGTCAGGTGTGCACGGGAACACGGTAAGGATTGTGCGGTGACACCCAGCCGGGAGTGCACGGGAGCACGGTCAGGAGTGTGTGACACACCCGGCCGGGAGTGCACGAGTACGGGGTCAGGAGTGTGCGTGACACACCCGGTCAGGTGTGCACGGGAACACCGTAAGGATTGTGCGGTGACAGCCAGCCGGGAGTGCACGGGAGCACGGTCAGGAGTGTGTGACACACCCAGCCGGGAGTGCACGAGTACAGGGTCAGGAGTGTGCGCCACACACCCGCCGGGAGTGCACGGGAGCACGGTCAGGAGTGTGCGTGACACACCCGGTCAGGTGTGCACGGGAACACCGTAAGGATTGTGTGGTGACACCCAGCCGGGAGTGCACGGGAACACACCTGGTCAGGAGTGTGTGTGACGCGTTCAGGAGTGTACGAGTACACAGGAGTGTGCGTGACACACCGGGCAGGAGTGTGCGGTGAGATGCAGCCGCAATGGAGGTGATCTGAAATTAATCTGAGGCCATGCTGTGCAGATGCAGGTCCTGGGATGGGAGCCTGGCCACCAGGCTGGCAGGAGTGGGAGACGCAGGGTGCTGGGGGCTGGGGGAGCAGAAGAGCGTCCTCCTGGGTAAAGTAAGGAGGGCTGGGCGGGTGCCGGAGAGGCTTATGGGCCATGATCACAGTGTGTGTGTGTGTGTGTGTGTGTGTGATTCCTGGGAGGGAGGCAGAAAGCTCAGAGAAGTCAGTCCTCACCGGAGTCGTGGACAAGAAGGAAAGACAGGCATCCAGGAGTGCAGACTCCGGGGAGCAGTTGCTCTGTCTGGACAGCCCTCTGCATTCTTCCTCGGAACTGCTGAGCTGGGGAGGGCTGTGGTGGATGGAGTAGGACCTTACCTGAAAAACAATCTGTGGCTCAAGTCATAAGTGCCTGCCTGAGAAGGTGCTGAGTTCCAGTCTTGACTTCAGACTCGAGAACTGGAAGAAGTACCCCAGGACCAAAGCCCGTCAGCTGCCATGTCCTGTCCAGTAGATCTGTCGAGTCCCAAGCCCACTGGCTGAGGCCTGCAGTTAACACACCTGCCTGTAGAAGGTGCTGACCGCCCACAGCATCCAAACATCTGACTCAACCTGCAGTCAGGACCCAGGGAGGGAGGAGAGCCTTCCCTCAGGTCCTGGGTCTGCTCAGGTGTCTGAGGCGTGCAGACAAGCCCGGGCTCTTCATAAGAGGCCCACAGGGGACCCCCATAGCCCTCTGAGGCCACCCAGCAGCTTCAGGGTCTCAAGATTCTGGGTGCAACCTGGGACCAGGGCCCCAGGACACGCTGCCCACTGCCCAGCGCTCATCTTGGGGCGCCCCAGGGTGGTGGTGCGGACTGTGCTGCTTTTTCTTTGTCTTTCCAGCCCTGTGGGGAGATGAGCCTCCCACCTGCCTGGTGTATGGCCCGTGCGTGCACACATGCATGCCTGCTTGCACACGCCGTGTGTGTATGTTGTGTGTGGTATGTGTTTTGTGTGTATGTTGTATGAGGTATGTGTGTGGCACATGTGTTTTGTGTGTATGTTGTATGAGCTATGTGTGTGGCATTGTATGTGTTTTGTGTGTATGTTGTATGGGGTATACGTGTGTGGGGTGTTGTATGTGTGTTTGTGTGTATGTTGTATGGGGTATATGTGTGTGTGGTGTATGTGTGTTTGTGTGTATGTTGTATGGGGTATATGTGTGTGGGGTGGGTGTTGTATATTTTGGGGGGGGCCAAGGTCTCAATCACAGACCTTTGTCATTAACCAGCTCCACCATGGGTTGGAGGTGTGTCTAGCCAAGTGTGAGAGGCCCTGAGTTCAAACCCAAGTATAAGAAGGAGAAGGAAGAAAGAATGAGGAGAAGGAGAAAGAAGAAGCAGCAAGCAGCCAGGCCACGCTGGAAGGACTGGCTGGTTGGACTCTGAGCTCAGTGGCCTTAGCCACGTGCTGAGCTGCTGGATGAGACTGGACCAGGGTCAGCTGTGGGGTAGAGAGGGGAGTCTGCTCATCTGTTCCTCACGGAACACCTTCTGGAAGGTAGCCCCTTATCCCCATGGCAGAGAAACGGAGGCACAGGATTGCTGGGAGCCATCGGCCGGACCACATGGGGGCCCTTGGCTTTGCCCTCTGCCCTTCCAACCTCAGATTGCCAGTCACTCCAATTTCAGAAGCCAGTACATCCAGCGCCAGCCCTGTTGGGTCCTGCCTGGTCTGGCCACCCCCTTCCCGTGGCCCCCAGGAAGCCTGGACTGGTTTTTGTGGACAGAAGATGGTCTGGTCCAGGTGGAAGACAGGGAGGAGGAAGAGTTGAGGTCAGGTGGGCTGGGGGGGGGAGCCCTGCCTGCTGCCAGACAGCATCTCACACCAGGCTGGCAGTGTGGGGCCGCGCCTGTCCCTCAGAGGCCCCTGCTCTCAGAGCTGCTGTTCATGATGTCTGCTCCGCAGACTCCTCGGGCGGTGCCCGCCCCCAGGGCAGGCCCGGTGCGTCCACGCTGGCCCTCAGCGGCGGCGTTGCGGGGGCCGTGCCATGCTGGACGCTGTTTGTTATTTTTTTTTTGTCTCCTTGGATCCCTTTGAGCCCTGGACAATTATGGCTTTCAAAGCACCACGGGATGGTGGTGTGACAGTCACAAACGAAGCCGATGCTGTGCCGCGTCACAGACGTCTCAGCCCCTGTCTCGGGGACAAAGGAGGGCTGGGTGTGTTTGTCAGAGGCGGATAGGAGCCTCATTAACGTGGCGTCGGCGGCCCTGCCGGCCCTGCCGGCCTGCACACAGGAGCAGCGAGGGGTTCTTCGGGTCAGCAGGGAGAAGAAGGAACGTTTCTTAGAAAAAATACAGCTTCCGTTGTTACTATAAAGGTGACGTCCAGGGGTTACACTTTCATGGACCGGTTCTTTTTAAGGTCATGAAAAGTTGCTCTGAAGTCAGGTTCCTTCCACTCCTAGGGAGGCCCACAGCACCGTGGCCTGGGGGGGGGACCACGCAGGAGGGCTGGGGTACACTGCAGCGGTGTGGGCTTGAACTCAGGACCTGAGCGCTGGCCCTGAGCCTCCTGGTACTCACCGCTGGCGCTCTCCCACCTGCACGACATCACCACCCCCTCTGACAGCACCGCTGACACGCTCCTCCTGTCACCTCCAGCCCCAAGAGCGGGTAGAGGAGATGCCGGGAGGGGCGGAGGCGCTTCCCCACGGCCCCAGGGCAGTGCCGTGGGCTTGCTCCAGGCTCGTGTGTCCTGGGGTGCGCAGGGTCCTGAAGCAGGCACGCAGGTCAGGGCCTTGGCAGTCGGCATCCTCCTTCCCCACGGCCCTGCCTCTGTGCCCTGGAGATCGGCTGCTGTTCTGCCACCCCGCTCCTGATGTGTCTCCTCGGCTTCTGCCTGGATGGCATCTGGGGGGGATGGGCAGCAGAATGGACTCTGAGCTGTTTCGTTGGATGAGGAAAATTCGGAGGTCGCTGGCCCGTGTGGAGCCGATGATGCCCTCGGTGGGGCTGGGCAGGCCATGTCCTCCTGTCCAGGACTCCGTCCGTCCGTCCTCAGGAGAACCCCACAGCCCACCAACGAAAAAAATGACACAGAGGGGCTGCCGAGTGGTGCCGGCCGCGGCTGTGGGGGCCTGGCACGGCAGCAGGCTCGCGGTGGGGGCGCCGCTGGGGTACACGGACAGGGGCCTGCCAGTGTGAGGCGAGCTGGTGGGCTGCAGGCCGGTAGCAGCCTTGCCGGGGAGCAAGGATCCTGAGAGAGCTGCGACCCAGGCTGCGACCCGCGCTGCGACCCGGGCTGGGACCCGGGCTGGGACCCGGGCTGGGACCCGGGCTGGGACCCGCGCTGCAACCCGGGTTGGGACCCGGGCTGCCCGAGACCTGTCCCTCATAGAGGGAGTACAACTTCCAGCTGCAGAGGCTGGAGCCCCTTGCTTGGCCAGCGGAGGGGCCGCGTTGGCCAGGCAGCCGCTTTGCCCCTGCTGGGCCGAGGGTCCTTGCTCACCAGAGGTGGTGCAGAGCAGGTCCAGATGGGGCAGGCGCACAGACTCCAGCTCCGGGCGGGGGGGGGGGGGGGGGGGCGGGGAGAGGGGGAGCCCTTGCTGACCGGAAGGGGGCGGCCTCTCGGCCTCTGCCTCCGGAGGTGGAGGCGTTAGCAGGGCTGGGGGCAGTCCTGGCCTGCCTGGGCTCCCGGCGGGCGGAGGGACCCAGTAGCTGTCCCTCCCACAGGAATGTTGGCTGAGTGGTCTCCATGGGCCTAGCATTCAGGCGTAAGCCCTGGACCCTGGGCAGGCATTGTGGTGGTCCGGGCCTTGGGAAGCCAGGAAATCATGCAAACTGCAGGGGTTCCCAGGGCCCCAGTGGAGCAGGGGTGGTGGTGGCTACTGGATTGTGGATGCACCCCAGGAACCCCATCTGTCCAGGAGCAATGGGCGGAGCC